TTGTCAAAATGAAACAAATGGATAGGTGTGTATCAGTGATCCTGTAATGTAAGAACCCGTGTAAGATGAGGGACCTGAACATTGGTCAATTTAACAGAGACAAGCCCCTGATTACCAAATATTGGAATGTAACAGAGGAAGGCTGAGTGAGGCCTTGGGGAGAAAATATAATCGTAGTGAGTAAGATTAACAATACTTGGTAATTGAAACACAGGACACCAGGTTAGCAGTCGGTGGTAGAAGTGCAGGAAGCTTGCAGGGACTGCGGTATAAAGCAGGCCTAGGTGCTAAATGTAGAAATAACAAAATAAATGATGTACAGTCATTATTTATCAAGAAGCAGTGATATTGGTTTGGAGTTTTATTACGGATGAGAACGTAGTGAATGGTTACAAGGTGTCCCATGCCTTAGTTTGCCAACCTGCCTTGGGTTGGGGTTTATTCGCGTGGAGGCTGAATGAGGCCTCGGGGCAAGATGGCTGTAATTTGTAATACTAAACCTGATGCTGTAGGACAGGATACAAGGTTAGCCACTTCCTGGAGTTATAGGAGAAGTTGAGGAGCCTAGAAACATGACATGTAACTAAGTACTTTAATACGTATAAAGGCTGAGAGAAATAGTGATTAAGCGATTGTGCTTTTTTTGGTAAAAATTGAGATTGATCTAAATGAACCGTGGTAGTTAAATTTATAGACGTAAAAGTTGCATTGGCAGTACTGAAGTGAAAAACATATGACCTTGTAGCAGTCAACTTGCCAATTTAGATGAAAGGTTTTAATATATGCAGTCAAAAGAAAGTTCAAGTAAATAACAGTGTAAGCTAATTAGTGTCTTTTTAAGATCCTCAAAAGCAGAGGGATGAATATTTATAATGCGATGCTTTGTACGTTCGTATGAACGAATGGCATCATAGGCACAAAGCAATACGTAATTAGTATAACAGGCAGGCGTTTGGTTAAATTTTTTATATTACATATAGCAACTGCATGAATACATACAGACTGCATTCGGTTTAGCCGCCCTTACAAAAAAAATACGAACGTAAAAATAATAAAATATAGTGATGTGTTCGTTCATATGAACGAACAGTATGATCGGTTAACATACATGGAAAAAGGAGAATTATAGCAATGAGACATGTTGACGGTCGCCAAACTATACGAATGGTGAGACTGATTGCAAACATGTTTTCAGCGGTCGGTAGTTTAACTGTGAGAATGCCTGAACGAACATAAGTATGCCTGTGGTCGACTGTTTATATCTGAAGGAATTGCTGCGCGCAAGTGCAGTACATCTGTCAGATTTGTATATCAAATTGCTATATCTGAAGGATGTGCTGTGCGCATGCACAGTACACCCATCAGATTTCTTTTGCTGAAGGATGTGCCACGCGCATGTGCTGTACACCCTTCAAATTAAAGGCCCAGCTGATCGAGCATCGTCAGAGGCGGCACACATGCTCGCGGTGCCTCCACCAGAATTCTATACCCCGAGGCCTGCTAGCGCGCATGCGCACAGCTGATCTCGCGTCATTTCTAGTGACGTGGAGGCACCAGAAGTGACGGAGGTATAGAAATCTGATAGATATAGATTTATGATAGAAAAGCGGCGTTTTGCAACATGATAGCCTCCCAATGCTTTCCTTTGGGAAAGCATTGGATTGGCGGATTTTGTCAATTATGAAGATTGCAGCCAAGGAGGCAGAGTGATGTACCCGCACAGCTCTGCTATAAGGATGAGTAATTACGATGAACCACAGGAGTGCATGAACGGGTAAGTATATACGAATTACATTGTTTAATAGTGAAAGGGAGCCTACCCCTAAGTTTTTAGGCCCGAACATGGGAAATAGCCGAACGTTATTTCCCACATTATGCTTACGTGGATGCGCCGGTCTCGTGACCGGAAGCCGGGTAGCGTAACCAGGGAGAAGCCGGGTGGCAGGACTGGAGGTCGGACGCAGATACTGCAGCGACAGGACTCCTGCTAGCGTCTGTAACTTTTTCTGGCGGGAACTCGGACCGGAAGTGCTGGTTGCCAAGGTGAGTCAATCAGCTTGAACGACAGAGGTGAGTAGGGGCTAGGGGTTTAAGTAGGGGCCTTAACCTCTCCCACAAATTCAGGCCTAATGGCATTTTAACATATATATATATATATATATATATATATATATACACGCACACACACACCAGTGTTCCTCAACCTTTTCTCACCCACATAGAAGTTACCTCAAAGGAGAGCACTCTTCTCACCCACATAGAAGTTACCTCAAAGGAGCGCACTCAGTGGTCTTCTTGTGAACTTGAATTTCTTCAAAAATTGGTTAATTCTTTTTTTTTTTTTATAAATTCTTTATTTTGGAATTTCAGTTATATGGGGGGTAGGGTACAGAAAAGAAAACTTGGGATAAAGTATACTTTCATAGAGATCATAAGTTGCTTTGATGTGTTACAATGCTTTCAAAAAGGTAGGGTAGATATATAATTTTGTTCTTTACCTGGTGCTCTCTTTCGCTAGTGTTGTGATGATGCGGTTTCAACTCCGGGAGAGAAGTTGGAATCTTATTCGTAGATGGTTGTAGCACTATGTTGCAGTATGTGAAGTTTTAGCGGGTATAGCACATCTGTTTTTGGTTCAGAAGTTACCTGGTTGTGTGCGTATTACGTCTTTCGGTTCAATGTTTGGTCGGTGTGTTTATGAGGTTTTCCTCGGGGGGAGTAAGAAGTGGTATTGGGGGGGGGGAGGGTGGGTCTGGTGGGGGATTTGGGTTTCTTGCCGGGTGAGTAGGCCTGTCATCTCTTAGTGTCTTTTAGTTTGTGGGTCCTTGGTGCGTGGGCGGTTCTGGCCTGGAGTCGGCCGTGGTCTGTCCCATGGGCTTTTAGTTAGGGACTGCAGGGGCTGTCGCCCAGGGTTGGGTGTATTGGTCAAGGTCTCGGTGGGTGTTCCTTGTTCTATGTGTGGTGTGCGGTGGGTAGTCTCTGTTGGCTTTGTCTGAAATGCTTATTTGCGCTTTGTGTCTGGGGTTGTGAGTTCCGTCAGGGGTGGTCTGGGGGTTCTTCCCTCCTGTCGTGTTTGCGTGGTGTGGTGTTCGTGATAGGTGCGTCCAGGGCCCCTGTCTGGGTGGTGGTCTATGCTGGAGGTGCTCTGGTTAGAGCTCTTGTTTGCGTTGGCTGAATATTTCGTATGTCCTTGTTTGGTTAGTGTTCGTGGTCTGGTGCTGGCGGGATTGGGGTGGTTCATGGGGATCAGTCTGTTTTGGTGTTGTGGGAGGGGAGGGTTGTGTGTGGTGGATCTAGTGTAGGGTGGTGTGACTGTGTTTGTCTAGTGTGGTTGGGGTGAGCGGTTTGGTTGTTTCTTGATGTGGGGATGGGGGTTCCGGGAAAGGAACATTTTGGTTGGTGAAGTGTGGTTCCCGGGACGGCCTTTGAGGTTTTCCCTCCTCGGGGGCCACCCCCCGCCTGGTGCATCTCTTGGCAGTAAGCGTCTTATATTGTTGGGAATTCGAAGATCCATGGTTCCCATATCTTGTCGAAGTGTCTAGTGGTATCATGTACCAGGGCGGTTAGTTTGTCCATCTTCATGGTTTCATTAATTTTTCGTTGGATGAGCGCTACGGGTGGGGTGTCAGGGCTTCCCCATTTCTCCGCGATTGCTCGCCTAGTGGCTAGTGCCAGTTTGGCTATCAATTTATTGTGTGCCCTTGGGGTGTCTCGGAGGGGCCTGGAAAGGAGCCACAGCCATGGGTCCATCGGGATAGTGGTGTGTAGTGCCTGTGATGCCAGTTGCGCTATATGGTGCCACACCGTGGCTACTCGAGGGCACTCCCACCATGTGTGTATGAAGGTTCCCCTGTTCCCGCACCCCTTCCAGCAGAGGTCGTTGTCGGATTGTTTCATTTGTTGCAAACGTAGTGGAGTGAGGTACCATCGGAAAAGAGTTTTATACGCTTGTTCTTTATGATTGACACATATCGATATTGTTGCTGTGGCCTCCCATATACTTGCCCAATGGCTTAAAAATTGGTTAATTCTTAACATCAATGTTTCAGTCAATATTTTGTATCCTGATGAAATTGCAATTATGGAGTGTATGAATCAACCCATTTTTGAGAGAAATTTAAGTTCACAAGACCACCACTGAGCGCTCTCCTTTGAGGTAACTTATTGCTGTGAGGCTGAAGATACACCTTGGCAAGAAATATACAAAAGTGACTCAATCACTTTTCTAAAGAGAGCACACTCAGTAGTTTTCCTTTTAAAATAGATTTTCATTCAAGTGCGTGTGTGTATGTATGTATATATATATATATATATATATATATATATATATATATATATATATATATATAATATAAATCATTAAAGAAAAGAGGAGTCAGAAGTGGTAATCCAATATTTTTTTTATTAAAAAAGCAAGTGGGAGAAGCAAAGAAGCAGAGGCAGCCCAGGTTGGTAGGAGAAGTCCTGGGAGGATATAGTGCAGAGGAGAATGAACCAATGTTTTTTCAGGGGAAGGATAGGGAAAACCAGAAGAAAATTAGGAGAATGTAACAACCTATGATGAACAGCGTCAGTTGTGTTCACATTGTGGATGATAATGAGAAATAAACATCTGAGTGCATTCTTCCCGCAGATATCTATTCATCATCATCATCCCTTCTGGGAAGACCCTGCGCACGTTGTTCACGATATAGGTTATCTACTTCAGCAATGGTTATGCCCAAATTATGGGAAGCTTGGGCGCACATTAGAATGCACTCTTCCTCCCTCATTTCCATAAAGCGCTACTTATTTCGCTCCAAGGAAACCATTGCTGTTGTAAATTGCCTAACGCCCTCATTCAAAATGTTAGACATGGAGCGTACCTCAGTTATTACATTTTCGAAGAGTTCTCGCTGATTCTCCCTATCCTGCTGTATGGACGTCTCCAGTTCAGCTTGATGAGCCTGCATCATCTCATACAGCACAGCCAACTGTGAGGGAAGTTGTGGCAACGGCATTTATTTGGCCACTGATGTCACTGAATCAGGATCCATTGCTGTAATGGCACCCTCCTCTTGTAGGGGGAGAGCACCATCAGAACCTATAGGGGAGAACAGAGAAAGAACATTGTTAGCATGTTTCATATGTTGCAATGCTAACTATTTTCTGTACAATAATATTATTTAAACTTGAAAATAAGATATATGTAGTCATGCTATTAATTTATTATTATGTCTACGTATAGTTATGCATCATTGTCCCCCCTAGCCCTTTCTCTGTCTCTTTGTGACTCCTCAACGCATCTCTTTGTGCCCACCTCGCTTTCCTACTAACCTCACTACGTGTATCGCGGCCGAGCGTCCCCAGGTAGAATCTCCTGTTTCTTCTGCATGACAGAAGGCTGATCTATGCACTCAGCTTCCTGTCAGGCCAAGTAGATGGTACAGAAGATCATACACCCGTGGTCCACTCAGCCACAGTACATAAAGTGAACAGAAGGAGAGGAGCGATGTGCGCTCGCCCACACTCCTGCTGGTCACCCAGACATCGTGCAGATGCCTAGTTTGCTTAGGGGTCGACCCAGCCCTGCCTGTTACATAAACTAGTATGCCTGCAAAGAAAATGTGTACAGTTAAATCATATTTTACTTACGCTCAGTGGATCCCTGTTCCTGGACACCAGTGGCCAGCTGTTGGAGGGAAACCACAGTCGTACGTGGTGAAGAAACTTCGACAAGTTGCGGATGGTCTGAAATACATGTATGTGATAAATTAACTTCATATACAGTACAATCACATACTTGTTTGTGTGTGTGTGTGTGTGTGTGTATTTTTACATGCGCACACACAAACACACATATATATATAACATATATCTAACAATGCTATGCAAATACTTACAAGAGGAAAGTGAAACCAGGTGCATTTCCAGGTAGACAGGAGGTGAACCTGCTGCCATACTCTCCATGGAGACAGCATCTCCTGCAGTTCCTGGTGCCTCTTATGGGTATTGAGGGGCTTGCACTGATGGTATAGAAAACACAAATTGGAGGGGTAACACATGAAAACTGATATATGTACATTTTGACTAACAAATATGAATTTAAAGGACCACTCTAGGCACCCAAACCACTTCAGTTCAATGAAGTGGACTGGGTGTCAGGTCCCTCTAGTTTTAACCCTGCAGCTGAAAACCTAGCAGTTTCAGAGAAACTGCTATTTTTCACTGAGGGTTAATCCAGCCTCTAGTGACTGTCTCACTGCCAGCCACTAAAGGCACTTCCGCGATTCTCACTGTGAAAATCACACTGAGAAGATGCTGGACGTCCATAGGAAAGCATTGAGTAATGCTTTCCTATGGGTGGTTTGAGTGTGCGCACGCGGCTCTTGCTGCGCATGCGCATTCGGAGCTGACGTCGGCAGAGGGAGGAGTGTTCCCCAGCGCCGAGGGAGCCTGGCGCTGGAGAAAGGCAAGTGGCTGAAGGGGTTTTAACCCCTTCAGCCCAGCAGGAGGGGGGCCACAAGGGTGGGGGGGGACCTAATTACCCTATAGTGCCAGGAAAACAAGTTTGTTTTCCTGGCACTATAGTGGTCCTTTAACAATGTACCTTCAGATGTTTCAGCGCCAGTTGTCCCCTCAATCCCAAGGAGGTTGTCTCTTCCCAGGAACGGCAGGAGCTCCTCTTCATAGGGCAGCAGGTCCGGTTCTTGTTCTTGCACTTGTGAACCGCCTCCTGTCTTCCTGGAGGCGGCTGCTGCCTTGCTCACCTTCCTCTTCACCATCCGCCTGATGTCGTATTAACTGCAATGACATGTGTAATTGAGTAATTACTTTAATATGTTTCTATATATATGTTTACTGACATGTTTAAAGGGATACTATAGGCACCCAGACTAATTCGGCTCATTGAAGTGGTCTGGGTTAAGTGTTCCAGGTCCCTTAACCCTGTAAAGGTAACTATTGCAACTGCAATAATTACCTTTATGTGTTAACTCCACCTCTAGTGGCTGGCTACCAGACAGCAACTAGAGGGACTTCTGGGTTGTTAGGCAACTTTTGGTCACCCCTCCATATCCCCCTTCCTATGTGTATCACCCCTATTAACCCCCTTATCCCTGTGTGTCACCCCCATTGACTCTGCATCTCCCTTATTTAACACCACATTCGCCTACACTGTGTATGTTACTACACAGTGAAAGCTGTGGCATAGAAATCTGTCAGATTTGTAGATCAGATTGCAATATCTGATGAATGTGCTGCGCGCATGTGCTGTACACCCATCATATTTCTATATCTGATGGATGTGTCATGCGCATGCGCAGTACACCCATCATATTTCTATGTTTGAAGCATGTGCTGCGTGCATGCTCAGTACATCCATCAGATTTGTATATCAGATTGCTATATCTGAAGGAATTGCTGCGCGCATGTGCAGTACATCTGTCAGATTTGTATATCAAATTGTTATATCTGAAGGATGTGCTGTGCGCATGCACAGTACACCCATCAGATTTATATCGCTGAAGGATGTGCCACGCGCATGTGCTGTACACCCTTCAGATTAAAGGCCCAGCTGATCGAGCATCATTAGAGGCGGCACACATGCTCGCAGTGCCTCCACCAGAATTCTATACCCCGAGGCCTTCTAGCGCGCATGCGTGCAGCTGATCTCGCGTCATTTCTAGTAACGTGGGGCCACCAGAAGTGACGTAGGTATAGAAATCTGATAGATATAGATTTATGATAGAAAAGCGGCGTTTTGCAACATGATAGCCTCCCAATGCTTTCCTTTGGGAAAGCATTGGATTGGCGGATTTTGTCAATTATGAAGATTGCAGCCAAGGAGGCAGAGTGAGGGCGGAGCCAGCTGTGATGTACCCGCACAGGTCTGCTATAAGGATGAGTAATTACGGTTACATTGCTGAGAGGGAAGTTAAACTGTGTTTTCAGTTATAGTGACAGGAATACAAACATGTGTTCCTTTAAAGCTTAGCTGCACATGGTGTTTTTTCTCCCTCTATGTGCTTAAGTGACCCAACCTTCACTTTTTAAAGACTTTAAAAGCATAGCTGCTAATGGTGGGGGGTGTAGCAAAAGCACATGTAGGAAAAAAATAAGTTTTAAAGAACATGGAATAAAGAAAATAATTTTTTAGAAATATAGGTGCACTTACCGTTACTTTTTCTTCCTCCCAGGATCTGCAGGCTTTAAGATCCTAGGCTGCCTCTGATTTCTCTTGCTTCTCCTTCTTGCTTCTCCTTGCCAGAGTGACCAATGCCCCACTTCACTATATCCATTGCTAAATCACTTGAGGAACTGGATGAGGACATGACCACTTCTGGCAGACTCAGTATGCAAGTGCCTAAAATGGCTGACAGGGTTTGGACTGGCTGAGCTCTAAAATGGTTGAATGGCTGAAATATAGAATATATAGAATATCTGGATAGATTTTGCATTGAAGGACTGCCTTGAGGTGATACTTTTTTTTTCTTTTGTTTACAGTTTTGTCTGGCAGTATGTAAAGGCCTATTTAATTGGCTACTTTCCCACTCCCTTCTGAAATGATACTGTGTTGCCAGTTCCACCTGTCAGGGAAGCCCAAGAGACTAAGCAAAAAGCAATGCATTGCATTTGCAATGCCATTCGACATATGAATGCCTATAGGAAGTTTACTAACAGTGCCAATACATTTTCATGTGATTTATAGCGATCGTGTATTTGACGGTTTGGGAGTTATTTCGAGAGTTTTAGGCATAAATTCAGGGAAATAGAGCATTGTTCAATGCCATGTTTTGTGGGATCAATGTACGAAATTTGAAACAAATGGTTTTACTTAGTTCACTTGAGGCTATTCAGTATTTAGGGATTAGGGAACTGATGTTTATGTAATCCGTTAATTTGGTTCAATTAAATCGCAACGAATGGGTTTATCCGAAATGAAAAAAACAAATGAATTTCCTACGAAAACTAATGGAATAATGGCCGAATTTCGGTTCTGACGAAACAAAAATTTCTGATGTGCTTAAGTCTACTTTAAAGCATATATTAAAATACAGTGTCTTGTTCCACTTTCAGAGTGTCACTCTTCATCATGTATTTTCCTGGATCACCTCCAAGTATCTCCCTTTGCTTGTCCTAATCATGCAGAGTCATTTTGGCTTTAGTGTTGGCTTCCTCAATGCACAAAATCAAAGTCAGTCCAAGTTTTTTCTATCTCCTTGCAACTTACAGTAAGTTTCTTTAAAGTGTTGTGTTTTCCTATTGATCATATTTATCATATTGTGTCATTGAAATTATGGGGATTAATGAAATGCAGAGGAATATAATAGTTTCCATTTAAGAATAGATATGCATAGCAAATACTGTCCAAAATATATAATACAGATAGTCAAGTACTAAAAAGAAGATTAGTGGAATGTGGTAGGCAGCAGCACCCAGCCAGAGGTCTCTCTTTGCTGGCCAGTGACAAGATAACTTGGAGTACAAGTGGGAGTGGTGTCTGTGATATCCCTAGTAGATAGATATACCCCAATGAAAACAATTGGACAGGGGGAAGGCAAATAGTATGTTCTGTTAACAGAAAGATAGATAATGAAGAGCATTCACACTTTCAGGGGCTAGTATGTGGCTCCAAAATATGTGATTGTGCAGTGAAATCACCCCTTATGGATAAGAGTGCATTGCTTTCTTCAGATAGGGTCCTCAGCCAAATATGAAATAAATCAAAAATAGACCTTATGGTGTAGTACTACTATGAAAAATGGTATAGATAAGTATATTTAAACATGGGCATTCACATGTGAACAAGCCCAAAATGGCTCTAGGATATACTTTATTTGGTGTTCTTAGCATAAATATGTAAAACAAAATAAAAAAATATATAGTACACACTGTAGCATGTGGGAAGTGGTAATAACTTAAAAACTATTTACAATATAAAGAGCAAGCTGAGGAGCTGTACACAAGGCTTAGGTGGTATCATCCTCACCAAAGAAATAGCATGCAGGAAGCAACCAGTGATGTACACAGGGTCCAGAAGATGAGTTAGAATAGCAGATTATTTATTACAAACGAATAAAATTCAAAATAAAAGCAATAATAACAACAATACCATCCGCACTAACATGTTTGCCACACACTAGGATGTTTTCAAAAGGTGTATGTAAAATTCTTAAATTTTTCCTCATATAGATTCACAAAATACAAAATTTGCAGGTAAATCACAGGAGTGTCACATGTCCACAAGAATAAAATAATTTAACTAATAGTATTATAGAGTTTTTGATAGAGATGAGCGAACCCGAAGTAAATTTGGGGCGTGCACTTCACATCTGAGAGTCAAATAGAACCGTCAAATACTGTGGTTACATCGCAGTTTGACCAATTAAATTTTTTTTTGGTGCTAAAAAGTACATTTGTGGCGTGCACTTCATATCTGAGAGTCAAATAGAACCGTCAAATATTGTGGTTACATCGCACTTTTAAAAATTCACATTGGGGCGGGGCCTAACGAGCAAATTGAACAGTCGCAAGATAGATCGGCTCCTGCTCTAAAAGCCGATTACCGGAGAATACTCAAATTAATCGAGACTCTACACGAACCAGGGAGCAATACCTGGGTCCAGGACACCCTGGAGAACAGCCTGATACTTTATCCGAGTGACTTCGGTGATCAGAGACCCGAGGTGGCACGGCACGGCCTGCGTGTGACGGAGCTGGGGAGACCGGTGGGGGTTAACCCAGTCTGCTTCTAAGAGGTGATCCACCTGTAAAAGAATCGAAAAATAGTGCTGGGCGAGCGGAACATGCGGGCAGAGCCAAGCAAAATGGCGGACGCCAGGTGCGATCTCAAGCACCACGGAGAACAGCCTGACTTGCTAACCAGGATAAACGACCTATTTAACGCCTTCTGGGGAAAATTAGCACTTAGGGAGCAGCAGACTAAAAGACACAAACAGGAGGAACACTTACCAAAGACGCAGCCAACACAATCCCTTCACGGGCGCGCACACCCTCGAACACAGAGGGCCCAACCATGGCGCCGAAGACGGCAACGCCCCACATGGGCATACAAGCTCACAGGCCGAAACCCAATGCTGGCTAAGTTCCAACACAAGGAAAATCCGAACCCACCCAAATCCAGAGAACCGCAGCAAATCCAGAGAAGTGCAGCTACTTCTGCCCCTGTATACAGGGCAAGCCCAGACTTGGATGGCGCAAAGAACCTGCTTCGCAGTCCAGCGTGGGTCTCAGGACCACCCGAATAGCCCCAACGAACCTCAAAATGCCCAATTCACTCCCACACTAAACCTGTGGGTCCCTCTGCCGGAAGGCTCCTGAACCTGGCAAAGAGACACTCCGGGCTGGTAATACCGAAACAGCGGGCCGGGAGTGCCCTTCAAGTAAAGTTCATGGTGATAAAAGTTCCCAGGGACTGTACTAGGTACTCAGAGGGGATCGGCTGAGCGTAGGCACACGAACGGAGCCTGCTAGGCATACACCTCGCTACAACTGGACTCCCTCGCCATGCCTCATAACATAAGACTTGCATTTATATGTTAGATAAGTGTACAGTAAAAGTCTTTAATCTGCTGTTATTTTATTTTAATTCCTACAGAGTTTTTGCCTTTGTTTTTTCTCTGTGATAACTTAAACAGCATTGCATTAGACCACTTGCCAACATAACTTAAGGTAGCAATCCAAGCCTGCTCATATATGGCATAACACTGATGGTTAACTTTTTTGTCTAAAACACGCTATTACTGAATTGAGCATAACGGCATCCTCTTTAGCAGGAAAAGCAATGTTATATGTTGGGCTGCCTTTGTTTGTTTCTTTAAAGTGAGAATTTATACTGAGCTCCATATTTTGTGTATTAAGCGACGAGCAACATAATAACACTCACCTCCTTAGCAAGTACTCCTAAGCAAGAATTTCCCTATATACCTGACACCACAGCATTGATGACCATAACTTGTATCGCAGATCGAATGTTGCTTTATGGCACTTTGTCCTATCTAAGCATGTACCTCTCTTGTCCTGATAACAGAACGGGAGAAGGTGCCTGAAAAGCAATATCAATGCAGATGCAAACGGGCGCAGCTTTATTTAAAGCATACCTAACGTGATGCCATGGTAGAATAACTGTTCACCCAAGCAATGTTAATACTGTACGCCTGCATGGAAATGCTCTAACCTCTAGACCTAATCTTACGTTATTTCATTTTACGTTGCTCTATCTATTATTGTTGCCTTATCAGATTAACGCATCAATCTATACCATATTCAAAAATGTGCACTGTTAAATCATTCCCTACTGTATCTATTGTCGTTGAAATTAGCGTGTGGATTGCCATTGGGGTACCACAATCATGTCTGTTCCAACTATTTGCACTACAAAAAGAAAGAATTAAAAAAAAAAAAAAAAAATTCACATTGTTTTGGTGCTAAAAAGTATATTTGGGGCGTGCACTTCATATCTGAAAGTCAAATAGAACCATCAAACACTGTGGTTACATCGCACTTTGAAAAATTCTAATTTTTGGGGTGCCAAATAGCACATTTGCGGCCTGCGGAGCACTTCATATCTGAGAGTCAAATAGAACTGTCAAATACTGTGGTTACATGGCACTTTGAAAAATTCAAATTTTTTGGGTGCTAAATAGTACATTTGCGGCCTGTGGTGCACTTCATATCTGAGAGTCAAATAGAACCATCAAATACTGTGGTTACATCGTACTTTTAAAAATTCTAATTTAAACCATCTGTTTGGTGGGTGAACGCAAAGAATGAGGAGAGCATCAAATAAGGGATGTGGCCCTGGTCGTGGTGCTGCTGGTGTTGGTGGAGCTCCTGTTGCAGGGAGAGGACGTGGTCGATCTGTGCCAGCTACACGCACAAGTGAAACACCTTCCTCAGGTGCGAGTAGGCGACAAAACCTTTAGCGTTATTTGGTAGGCCCGAATGCCGCTCTATAAATGGTGAGGCCAGAACAAGTACAGGCGATAGTAGATTGGATTGCTGACAGTGCCTCCAGTTCCTTCACATTGTTTCCCACCCAGTCCCCTGCTAAAAGCTCAGAGTTGGCACCTGCAGCCCATGGCCATCTGTCTTTCACCTCAGCCCCTTGCAAATCAGCCAAGTGGTCTGAGCCACAAGTCATGCAGCAGTCTCTTATGCTTTTTGATGACTCTGCTGGCGGGGTTTCTATGGGCCATCCACCTAGCCCTGCCCCAGAAGTGGAAGAGATTGAGTGCACTGGTGCACAACCACTTATGTGTCAGGATGTGGACATGCGAAGACCACCGCAGCTCGTCTCTGATGATGACGAAACACAGGTGCCAACTGCTATGGCTTTCTGCAGTGTGCAGACCAGCAAGGAGGGCAGGGTTGAGGAGTGGGTGGAAGATGATGTAGAGGATGATGAGGTCCTAGACCCCACATGGAATCAAGGTCATGCGAGTGGCGTGTAAAGTTTGTTGGAAGAGTCGGTGGTCGCACAGAGGCACCAGCACAGCATAAGAAGGCGCAGGGTGCAAAAGCGGAGCGGCCATCCTCTAGACAGTATGCCTGCTACTGCCCACCACACCCAGGGACCGAGCAAACCAAAGCCAGCTCCAAGGAGTTCCCTGATGTGGCAGTTCTTCAGACAATGTGCTGACGACAAGACACGAGTGGTTTGCACATTGTGCAATCAGAGCCTGAAGCGAGGCATAAACGTTCTAAACCTGAGCACAACGTGCATGACCAGGCATCTACATGTATAGCACGAGCTGCAGTGGAGTGAGCACCTCAAAAACCAAGAAAGGTCTCAGGCTCCTCCTGCTTTCTCTTCTGCTGCTGTCTCTTCCTCCACCTCTGGAGTGACAGTGGCACCTGCCACCCAGCAAACAGAGGATGTGGCAGCAACGCCACCACGTCCGCCACCATCCCCAAGCATCTTCACACTGTCCCATGGAAGCGTTCAGCTGTCCTTCTCCCAAACACTGGAGAGAAAGAGAAAGTACCCCCCTACCCACCGATCCCTGGCCCTTAATGCCAGCATTTCAAAATTTGTGGCCTTTGAAATGCTGTCATTCAGTCTGGTGGAGACGGACAGTTTTAAAAACCTGATGGCGGTGGCTGTCCCAAAGTACGTGGTTCCCAGCCGCTACTACTTTTCCAGGCGAGCCATCCCTTCCCTGCACAACCAATTGGCGGACAAAATCAGGTGTGCACTGCGCAACGCCATCTGTGGCAAGGTCCACATAACCACTGATACGTGGACCAGTAAGCATGGGCAGGGACGCTATATATCCCTAATTGCACACTGGGCAAATGTAGTGGCGGCTGGGCCTGAGGCGTATAGCAGTTTGGCGCATGTCCTTCCGCCACCGAGGATTGCAGGGCATTTCTCTTTGCCTCCTGTTGCCTCCTCCTCCTTCTCTGCTTCTTCCTCCTCTACCACGTCCTCATCCGGTCAACGTAACACCTTCACCACCAACTTCAGCACAGCCAGAGGGAAATGACAGACCGATGAGTGGTTGTTGCCACTGAGCCTCAAGCCCGGCCTGGTAGTGTGCGAGAATGGGTGAAATCTCGTAGCAGCTCTGGGCCTAGCTGGTTTGACGCACATCCCTTGCCTGGCGCTTGTGCTGAATTTGGTGGTGAAGAAATTCCTGAAAAACTACCCAGATATATCAGAGCTGCTGCAGAAAGTGCGGGCCGTCTGTGCACGCTTTCGGCGTTCTCACCCTGCTGCTGCTTGCATGTCTGCGCTGCAGCATAATTTCAGCCTTCCCGCTCACCGCCTCATATGCGACATGCCCACAAGGTGGAACTCCACCTTGCACATGTTGGAGAGACTGTGCGAGCAGCAGCAGGTGATAGTGGAGTTTCAGCTGCAGCCCACACGGGTTAGTCGCTCTGCGGAACAGCACCAATTCACCACCAATGAATGGGCCACCATGCGAGACCTGTGTGCCATGTTGCACTGTTTCGAGTACTCCACCAACATGGCCAGTGCTGCTGACGCCTTTCTCAGCCTTACTATCCCACTTCTATGTCTCCTTGAAAAAACGCTTCAGGCGATGATGGAAGAGGATGTGGCACAGGAGGAAGTGGAGGAGGAAGAAGGGTCATTTCCACGGTTATCAGGCCAGTCATTCACAAGTGGTTCGGAGGGTGGGTTACTGCACCAGCATAGGCCAGGTACACAATTGTCCAGCCAGGGCACAGTTCTGGAGGATGAGAAGGATGAGGAGGAGGAACCATGTTCACAGCAGGGTGGCACCCAACGCAGCTCGTGGGCATCACTGGAGTGTGGCTGGGGGGATACAGAGGACACAGACGATACACCTTGTCCTTGCCTCTGGGCAGCCTGGTACACATGAGCGACTACATGCTGCAGTGCCTGCGCAATAACTGCCGAGTTGCCCACATTCTAACTTGTACTGATTAATGGGTGGCCACCCTGCTGGATCCCCATTACAAGGTCCTTAATTCCCTCACTGGAGCGTGATCGGAAGATGCGTGATAACAAGCGCACGCTGGTAGACGCGCTGCTGAGGGCATTCTCAACTGACACCGGGAGCTCAGTGGAAGCACTAGGCGAAGGCAAAGGAGGAGGAAGAGGTCGCCAACGCAGCTGGGGCACCGCCAGCACCTCAAAAGGCAGGGTTAGCATGGCCGAAATGTGGAAAAGCTTTGTCAGCACGCCACAACAACCAGCACCACCAGCTGATATGGAACGTCTTAGCAGGAGGCAGCATTTCAGCAACATGGTGGAACAGTCCGTGTGCACACGCCTACATGTACTGACTGATGGGTCTGCCTCATTCAACTTCTGGGTCTCCAAATTGGGCACATGGACTGAGCTTGCCCTTTATGCCTTGGAGGTGCTGCCCTGCAGCCAGTGTATTGTCCGAACGTGTGTTTAGCACGGCAGAGGGCGTTATCACAGACAAGCGCAGCCACCTGTCCACAGTCAATGTGGACAAGCTCACGTTTATTAAAATGAACCAGGCATGGATCCCACCAGACTTGTCTGTACCTTGTGCAGAATAGACATTTATACCAGCCATTGTTATACTCAAGTGCTCTTATTCTTTGTTTTCTTTTTTATATGTCCCAATATTTTGGGGGCTACCCCAATAAAAAAAAAAAAAAAAACACTAACAAATAAAAAACAGTGTTGGCTACCTCCTCCACCTCAACCGCTGCTTCCACCTACACCGCCACGGTCACCGCCTCCTCAACCTCCTACTCCACATCCACCTCCTCCACCTAG